AGATACCCTACAGGCAAGATTTTTTTTCTCCTGGTCAGATGCTGCCTGACCAAATCTATCTAATCTTGCCTGTGGCATAATGTTCCTTACAGAAATACTTAATTTCCTAAAGCAGCAATAGCATTTTTGTAACTGTGGCTTCTGCTGTTAATTTAAGAAGTTACCAAAAATCAACAGCTAAGGAAGGTCAGACTGAGTTTTCTGAACAGGCTGGAAAACTCAGCGTATACAAATGCCATGTCTCTCCTCAACAGCAAAAACAGATTGACTATGAGTTTAATCATGGTTGTTGTTGGAAGGATTTCAAAGTTGTAATGTTCTAATTTTTGATGATAAAGGTCTACATAGAACAAGTACAGGAAAGGTAATACTTCTTTTTTTTATATATTCCTAATGCAGCTGGGACAAAAAACCACAGGCTCTCAGGCAACCACATTCGTCTCTAATCCCGAAAGGCCTGGTGGACTGAAGAGGATATGGAGCCCCTCAAGGAATTATTTAGAAAACAGTTTAGAAAACACTTTGGTAATACACTGAGAACAAAAGATAATATTAAGATCATGCTGAATTTTTGGAAACTTCAGTGACCTGTTCTACTTTCAGAATGTGCAGAGTCTAAATATCTTGGAGTTCTAATTTACTAATTGCATTTTTATCACAATTTCTCTAAAGACTTACAGACCATTTTTAGATGTACTGTCTCATAATTGCATTTTAAGTTTCATGCCTCTTTCATGTAAAGAAGCTGTAAGGAGGGAAGAAAAAAGAGAGGGGAATTTAAGGCCTTTAGACACAAGCATAAGTCTCCCTTAGGAGAGGAGAGGTATGATTCACCTGCTTTAACTTACTCCAGAAACTGCAGTAACACCAAAACCTTCTCCAGTGTTCCTGAACAAAGCACCATATACATTTTATTTTTTTTATGCATCATCCCTTCACTATACCACCTCATATGCTTTTACAACCATCAAGCGTAACCAGTGTTCAGAGGAAAGAACAAAGACTCTTTAGTTGGGCCTCTCTTTTAAATGTAAAAGTGTGCATGAGAAGTGGTGGGTTGCTTGAGAAAGAAAACGACAGCATGACTTTTCTTTGTTTTACAAGCTATGTAAACAAGCTGCTGACCTGTAGCTTATGCACTTTCGGGTTCTGGTAGACCTCCTTTCAAGCAGCTTTGATTTTGGCTTTTTGGAATCTTTCTTCTTTTCTTCCTGACCTTCAGGTATTTCTGGCTCCTGTTCACGTAAGACAGAAGTGTCAAAAACCTTTATCGCCCCCCTCCCTCCACACTCATTGTGACTGAACTCGTATGATACAGATACTCGTATGATCTAGAAAGCTCATATGCCCAACACAACACATTTTGGCTTCTAAATAATTACTTGTTCCAGCAGAGTTCACGTGAACACTCGCACCTATTGCCCTTATTGGCTACATAATTTCACAAATACGGAGTTTAAGGGTTCAGGCTATTGTATCATTGTGTTTATACTACAACACTGACATCATGCCTCGGGTGATACTCCCAGGACTAGCAAATGCAGCAGCTGAACAAATTTTTGATAGAATCTCTACATACTGAGCACAGGGACACCTTTACATGGTGCGGTTTCAATAAAGTTCCACGCTGGTTAATTTTACGATATTGTTTCCAAGTTATTAATTTAAAAAAAAAAAATCTGCCCCCAGGCTGAATTTTTCAAATGTTTGCTCCCAGCCATAGACTCTTCTGCAAGTTGGTAAAATCTGTTACCATTTTTCTGTAATCCAGAGACAGGGGGAGAAAGTTAGCTTTATTACAGAGTGGAAAGTCTATGTTTAAAACAAACAAAAGTTTCATTTTAAACTCTCATGCAAGGAACAGATTATATAATTTTGGACGAAGGCATTTGGCTAAGACTTCAAGAGAATCACTTTAAAATGTATTTAAGAAGTGAGAAGAGGCTGTTCTCCACATAAAAACATTTTTCCTCTTCTGTAAAGGGAAACCATATAAAAGCATCTGTTAATAAAACACTAAATGTTTATAGTTTTTAACAACATGTGACTTCAATATACATTTGTTGGAGGCAAATGTTATGCTTCTAATAGATACTACATATTCCCTCTGAATCATAAGCCAGAAACATCTGTTTCCATCAGTTCCAAAAAAAAGCCATGGCAATTAGCTCAGACCTAGATAACTATATAGCAGACACCAGAGTTAAATAAATTGAATCCCACCTTTATAAATTACAGAACTGTAGGGCACTCTACTCAAAACCCAACTGTCATGGGTAGGGAGGCGATTCTGCGATGCTTCACTGACAGAGGACTCTGTGTGGCCCCAGTTGGCTCTAATAAACACGATAAAGCTCCCTTGGCTTCTCTGCTAAATTCAATCTCAGTCTAAAACAAAGGGTCTAGAATTATTTCTGATCTGCATATAGATTGATTTTTCTATCCAAGATGCTACTAGCACTTCTAACACACCACTGAGAAACTTCTTCCCTGAGAAGTTTGGAAAATAAAACAATAATACAACACAGACACAGAACTTACCTGAGGTGGAATGATGTTCTCAATACTGATACCCACATACACCAATCGCTCTTTTCTTTAGGAGAGAAAAAAATGAAAATAAGCTTACAGAAAGACTGCAGATATCTAAAATAATGCTGTAATTAGCACCGTTTGAAGCTCTTACTATCGCTAGGCAAACTGACTCCAACTGAAAACAGTTATTTTAGTTAGAATTATGTGCTCAATGTCATAAGAGTACATCTTCCTGCATGCATAATGTAAGAGATTTCCAAAAAGTTCTGACAAACAACAGTACTTGAAGATCGTGGGCACCACAGAAATGATTGAATTGGCTGTAAGTAAATTTTAAAAGTCTTCTGACGAGCCTTCTGCACTATACATTTTTATCCAAATAACCTCCTGGAGAACTCTTTACTGAAAGAATCTAACGTAGTATTTTTTATTAAATAACATGAACAAGCATGGTTCCTAAAGTAATACTGACAAAGAGAAAAAATGGATTTTAGGTTGTTTTACAGCCAAAAAGACCATGAACTTTGACTACTCTGTATCATTATATCTAAATTGAAATTTCTGGCTGCGTATAAAAGTAAATTGGTTTTGTCTCCTAATGTCAGTTCTCCAAACTGATAGATCAAAAGAAATTTTCATCCATCTGAGCACCATGAGATTTGCTGGATGAGGAAGAATTTTGTCATACACCGTGCAAAATCAGTATGCTCTTGAAAATGAATTAAAATAGCATCTTAAGGCAATGAATACAACTCCTAAAATGAGAAAGGAACTAGAAATGTAAACCTTTGAGTATTCAGCAAGTGTCTTTGATAGTTTCCTCCACTTCTCATTTCTTGTGATGCAAAACATCAAGAGACAGGAGAGATGAGAAAAATTCAGCTGTTTTCAAACATGATCAGTGAGGCTTTCCAGATCTGCTTTTCTCCTCCCTGGCTTGAGTACACTCTGCTTAGGAAATTACCAAATGAAACAAGCCAATCCTGCTGAGGTAAAGGTCTTAAAAAGAAATGCAAAATGAAGTATCTAATGCATTCCTTATTAGTATGTAGTACACAGAAGCTCAACACTTTAACCAATAGCTTAAACATTTGAATCACCGGGTCTCCAATGATAGGTGCAGATAAGCACTGACTAGTTATGAATTCTTCCTAGACGAATCCAGAAAACATTTTCTCTCATGAAGCAGCTGCAAAAGTTGCTACAGGGAAGTCATAACAGTGTGCATGAAAGGAAGTACTCCACCTGATTTGACCTGGGAGAAGCAGAGAAGTAGTCCCCAGAGGGATTTTCTATCAAGAATGTCTGAGAGTCTCTAACATGAACTAAAAGGGGCATCCATAAAAGATTTAATGTCCACTCCCTCTAGCTGGTGGTAGGACATGGTTAGCGTGTACGTGAGAAACCTGAAATTCAGCCAGGTTGTTGCAGTAGCATCTTCAATTCATGAACAGAAAAAAAATAAAGGTATGACTTTGATCTATGTATTTGTAAGTCAATATGAAACCTAAAGCTTTCATTAAAAAAATCTGCGACGTAACGCTTTGGGGATGTGTAAGAATGAGCAGCTGAATCAATTTCAGCCAGATTCCTGAAAGCTAGAGAATAACTGAAAGAGCACGACAGTATCGCTAGTTCAAAAAGCACAATAATAACCCTGGTTCAGAGTATCTATTAAGTGTGTGTGCCCACGATGAGACAGTTGGTTTTCTTCTCTTTGCCAAAAAGACAGACAACATGCACTGTGATTTTACAGAAACATTACATTAAAATATTTCTGTGCCCCAAACAACCAACCTCGTTTAACTTTTACAACAAGCTGTAATAAGGACTATAATTTCTTCTAGCATTATAATCCTTCAGCCTTTTTACCTCACAATTCGCTAAAATATACCACCATTAAGTTGAAAAACTTCAATATTCAACTATTGTATCATGAAATCTTTTATAAGCCAAGCTCATTTCTCTTTTTAAGAGACTTTAAAAAATAATTTAAAAAATCAGCCTCATCATATACAACAGAAAAAATGAGGTTCACTTTGTATGAGGATCAGATTGCAAAACGGTTGTTAAACATCTGTTTCAGACACTGAAAAGTGCTATAATATCAATTGTATGCTCTCCTGCAACCATTAAAAGATTGTATTTTTATGCAACACTAGTGATTTCGAGAAAGCAAGACAGACTGGAAAAAGCTTGCATTCCATGTAATGTTTGCCAGCAGAATATTTACCGAAGTATGTCCAAAAATACTGTTCACTAGTAATGAGTCTTCCCACCATAAAGCAGAGCAGCAGACACAGTTCCTTTGTGTCCCATACTCCTGCACAGATGGAGGCTGTGTGTAAGCTGAGCTCACTCATAAAAATAGCTAATAGTTTCGTTCCCAAAGCTACAAATTCACTAGACTTGGCAAGCCACGGATAATTTTACCACAGTGTGATCTAGATCCACTCTGAGCAGAAGTAGCAGTGTTAGGAACAGTTGGTACCTGATCTGTCACTATCATTGTTGCTGCTGCAACAGCAATAACAAAGAGGAGATTGGAAGGAAGCTGAAAACAGACACGGATTGTGCTCTGCTCTTCCCAGCACTGAATCACTACAACCCATGTGATATTACAGTACCTGCTACAAATATAAGCCTGCTCAATTACTATCTTTAAAAGGATCTCACCTTCTGGTGAAATTTGCCTTTTAAGATACAATTCATGCAAAGTTTTGTTTAATAATGCATACGGATGTTATTAAATTTTGCAAAGTACTCAATGTATGTCCTAAAAGGTGTAAATTATGCAGACTGTGTTTCATGTCCCTCATTTTCAGGTCTGAAAACTGCAGATAGGATGTTCCAAATATTAAGAATGTTGTTCATAAATGCAGGAGACCGGTTTGCATTTAGCCTTCAGTAATGGCAGGGGTGGACACAAAATTTCATTCAAAGTTGTAATTCAGCTGACCCACTGCGCTACAGCAATTGTATAATCTTGTAAATTCGGCAAAGTTTAAAAGAATCTAAAGCAACAAGACTGAAAAACCACATTAACCTGGAGGACCTTTGAAACAAAGTCAGGACTTAACCTTGTTTACAGCAGGAACTCTACACGCAGCTGACAGTATTACTAACACATGCAGCTGAACCAGCGCTGAAAACCATTTAACTACTGGTATAGGAAAGCCAAATTTGTGTTCAGGTACCTTAACCAAAGTTTATTACAAATGTATTTGCTTATCTTTTCCAATTATTGGACTTTTTCTCCCTTCTTGCAAGCTCTCCCAGCACTACACCACCAATAATCAGTGGGAAGTCAAAACTGGTCTTACCAATTCCGTCTCGTTGCTATTTTCCTCCCTGGTCCCCAGTTATTTTAATGCTAAGTTATTACTACCCCTCTGCATAGCAGCTTGCTGTGAACGCAACCAAACAATAGTACCTGCGCTCTGCACGCTCCTTCTTCTTTAGGACAACATCCAGATCTTGTAATTGTTCTTCTAATTTCTCACAGAGTAATTTCTAAAGGAATGAAACACAATATTAGTTTCTTTCATAACCAACCATTTTCACGTCGAACTAATGTTCGGACACTTCATTCACTATTTCTATATTTGTCTGGAAGAAGGGCGAGTGCCTTGCTACACTGGAGGCTCCTCTTCGATGAACAAGGCTTTACAACAAAGACTGTCTTCCTAAAACACACGTGCTTCACCGTGAACTGCTATAGAGATGCATCCTCCCAGTAACTGGCATTTACTGTAGGAAGCAATGTGCCTAAAGCAAGTATTAAAGATGTTTAGAATAAACACATTTCTAACTTAGTACCACATTTTTGTTGGTATTTACAACTTTGCCTCAGAGAAACCTGAGATTTCATAGACATACATAACATACATACAGAAACCTGAATGCGTACACACACAGTGATATCTGCTTGTCCCTTATTTTAATCTTTGGAGAACACGAGTCTCTGGGCACTACAGTAAAAAGTAGAGATACACTTCAGGATCATTTTCTTACCAAATGTTCCATATCCTAGAACACTACTTAATACTCAAGGAGCCATATGTAAAAATGACTTTTTATGGGCAAACTGTGCCTTATTCCATGTTAATGCCTTCATTGTACTATTTCCAAGGATCATCATCACGCTTTTACAAATCTGTCATTTTTCATATTAAAAATTACTAAACAGCAACAGAGCAAGGAGATGCTCTAACTACAAGCTGCAATCCCAAATTGTGTAAAGAAAACATTCTTACATATTCAAAATCATCACTACTTAAAAATACTCCTCAGAAGACAACTAAAAATCAATGCTCAATACAGCCGTATCACGTCATATCCAGTGTGACTAGCGTTGTGCAGGGCAACAGCCCTTTTGGCAAAGAATTTCTAAAAGCAAGGAAGAGGTTTGGGATCAGGCAGATTATTCTGAATATGTGCATAAATGGTCCCCCAGTAACTTAACAAGAACAGCATCACACTCTCTATAGCTAATCCTCCCAAGCACATCCCTGCAAATGTTGCTATTTTAGATGTACATTAAATTAAACTAGACATGTGCACTATGCGGTTTTTTTTGGCAGAAGCAGCTTCTAACCTTCAAAAAAGGTGTTCATGCTTGTCTATTACTTGACAAGGACAACGCTGGCTTTCCCAGCAGAGGCAAACTACACTGTAAGACTCATTAGAAATAGCAGCTTTCTCTAACCAGCTCCTGAGCAAATGTCTCTGAAGAAGGAACAGCAGTTCAGAAACATCTGCTTGCTTTGGCCACCAATCCATCCCTTGCTGCCTACTGCTTCCCCCTCCAGGATGATAACATGATGTTTCTTTTTGGAAAAATTAAGACATTATATTTTCAATACTATGTTAGTGTTGAGGTAATTTAACCAAAGATGGGAGAAGACCAGCGTGGTTGGAGATTCCCATGTACATGTCAGTCATTCATCACTAGCAGAAAAAAGGGAAAGGAAAACCACATCCCAAAACTCAGTTTTACTAATGGGCAAGAGGGAAGATCAGCATCCCTACAATCCATCACAGTCTATTTTTTAACAGAAAAACGATAAAAGAACTTGTTAAACTCTCAACAAATCCCCACAACTGCAAGTAAAGCTGAAAAGGAGAACAGTCAAGTCAAATAAGAACCATACATGCTGGCAAGGTGGGCAGAACCACTCTCCATCAGGGATTATCATCAAAGGAGGGCGAAGGCAGGCTGTGTGGTATCCACTGTCACAAGAGTCACACAACAAAATCTGTAGAAACAAAATGAATCACGAGTATTTTTTGGCATTCACAACATGTAACAAGCTCCAGAACTATTTCACCAGCCAACACAGAAGCGCTTTACAAATACTTTGGACTGTGCCAAAACAAAAAAAAAATCCTGTATCACTTATCACTAGATGTTTACGGGGCCAGGGGTGGTTTTTATGGGGAAGTTTATGTAGCACAGTTTTCTATTTTAAGACCAGATTTCCTACGTGTTCTTAGGCACTTAGTACTACTGGACTACATACTTTGTGTGCCCATAGTGTGGAATCTGGTAATGCTTTCCAGATCCCGGAGTAAGGGGGAAACTGCATCTGGACAAGATGTGATGTGAACAGTTTTCCCTGTACATTCATGTCCGCATGAAGGAAGCCTGGCCATTTCCTCAATCAGGATGATTTTATGTCCCGAACGGTAGAGACAAAGCCTTGCAGACTCTTAGAGATAAACAGAACTAGGCAACTACTAGAGTTTGTACTTAGCTGGGTAAAACTTGAGACACCCCTTTCCTTTAAAACTGAGGAACAAAGCTGACATAAGCGATGTGACTATCTACTGCAATATTTCTCTCTAACATCTTAAAGTTCGAACTTTGTCTCAACTATGCTAGGATAGCTGTCACACACCTGAGAGTATGCGTATTTTGTGGATTCATCGCAGGACTGCGCGTTATGATTTCCCAGATAAACAGAGGAATTCATGATGATATCTACTGCTGATGAACCAGAACCATAAACATAAACATCAGAAATACTGAAAGCTTGCTGTGCTCCTTCTGTATGGGATTTTGCTATATGCAGTCCTCAGGGTGATGTGCAGCTGTATCCAACGGGGATGACTATGTAGCTGTGACCATGTCACAAGACACTGGAGTGCACACGTTGCACTGATACTGGTTTTTTTAATGTTGTCTCCTCTGTATTCATTGAGATTGCAGGCACAACCTCAAAGCCTCACCCAGATCAGTTCTCAATGGGCTAAATTGTGTTATACCTCATAAAAGAAGACATTTCAGAGGTGGTAAACAGAAGAAATAACTTCTTTCCCTCCTTATTAAAGGTAAACTCAGGTACTCCTACATACAGCCAACTCAAAGGATCATCCGCCTTCAGATACCACCAAAGCCAATCCACCAAATCTGACACAACAGCCAACAGCAGCTTTCCCCCAAAGCCTACCAGCTCAGGGTGATTGGGAAGGCCACACTTCTTGCACGGCTCATCGTCATCAGCAGGTGCAGCTTCTTCTTCCTCCTCTTCTTCCTCTTCCTCCTCCTCATCAGAGTTTTTTTCACTCTCTGAGTCCTCACTTTCTTCATTACTTGAGTATTTCCACCTGCCACGTGTTCGCGTACCTGTCCACCGAACTTTGCTTCTCTATGAGACATACCATTTGAAAGAGAAAACACAAAGGAAGCTTACAGAGTTTCTTCCCAGATCTTAAAAAAATATCTGTCTCTACAGTGAAGTGATTAATTTCAATCAGAACAGTTGCAGTAAATTTACAACAGGGTATTTCAATGAATAGATTGTCTTTCAAAGAGCCTTAAAATGCAACAAGATAATAAAGGGAGAAAAATTCCTATCTACCTGCAGAAACTCTCAAATAAGAGTTAAAAGTAGGAAGACAAATTTGTCACTCAGCCCCTTTTTTTCTATTTTGACACGGTAAACTTGCTCGTGAACATGGTAAATTCCACATTTAAGCTTTATGACTTTTTGATGATAGCTTTCCTCAATGCAAAGAGAATATTTTCTTTTTTTTTCCTCCATGTACAGTTTGTCTTTTATTTCGCTTTAGAAAACATGTTTGCACTCTAACAAGTATATTAACTTAGGTGTTTCTGGTGCTTTCCTCTAAGATGGGCATACTTTTCTGAAATAATATCATTGCACCTTCTAAGTGCATAACTTATATCAAGGTCTTCTTTCACATTTATACTTTTCCATTATTTTTCTTAAGTGAAAACTGATTCAGTTGATGCTTCTTTTTTGCTAATCAGAGAGGCTAATCAAATCTACCCCTTTGTATCATATCTACCTTAGTAAAGCAACCACATATCTTACCATGCATTTACTTTCCACCTTTTTATTTTAAACAGTGGAAAATGACATCTCTTATTCTCTAGATGTGTTAAGCTTCACTAGTTATTTGTTTAAAATATATTTTGGATGAAAAACAGAATTCAGTTAAAATTCAGAATATCATTTTGTATTAGTTAAAACTACTTTCTGCAACTATATTGAAAGCAACATAGCAAACAGAAAAAACTTTTCTTCCCATTAATTGAATTGTTTCTCATAGACGTCATTCTCTCACAACTGTTTCTCCCCACCAGACACTGAAGAAGGAAAATAACTTTTCAAGCTATTCCAACTGAAAACATTTTTTAATTTTGACTAAACTACTCATTGACCTGAACGAGCTGAATAAAATAAAATGTACAAAATATTCTATTTATCCTGCAGGACGGACTTGTACCAAAGCAGTATTTGTCATATTAGTAAAATTTTGTTTCGGGTTCTTAACGTTAATTTCCAGCTCTTTATTGATTTTACTGTTCACTAAACTTTAGTAGCAAATGTACTTTAAATCCATGATAATAATAGTTTAAATTTAGGCTTCATCATGTACCATCATCATTTCAAACCTATTTTCTAACGGCCCTTCTTTAAAACAAATATAAAATATCCTATTAAAGATTTGGGTATTTTTGATCTTGATAAAATGACAGAAGCTTACTAGTTTCACACTTCTTTCTCTACCATATTTATTTCAGAATCTCCCTGGAAAAGTATTTTTAGATCTCTGTATCTTTCAGAAAAAGAGATCAAGTTAAAACTCCTACAGCCACAGTACTTCAAAATTAAAACTACTTGTAGGACTTACAATCACTATGATTTTAATTTATTTTTAAATGAAAATTTTAAAATTAATTTTTAAAGTGAAAATTGTTGTGTTTGTTTATGTATATGACAGGATTTTTCAGTATAAATGTTATCATTCATTGTAAAATCAATGGATCACTTTATGAAGGTTATTCAATATAGCAGTATGTGAAAGAAAACTTCCTAAATAAGTGAATGTTTTGGCAGAACTACAAAAATCAGTACAGAAATGTGTAGCAGTGGAAAAATTAAATGGATTTCAAGTTGATATAAAAAGAGTACACTTAAAAATACAGACTCTTTATTCCTTTTTTGTTTTGTACTCCATATCCAGAAAAAAATGGAAAATAAATAATAAAAGGTGTTTATAATTACACAGACTTAGAAGCACACTATACATATGTATGTTTAACTTTTTCTGTTATATTTACCTGACATACTTTTAAGATCTAAAGTTTATCATGAAAAAAGATACTTCCACCCAAAGTAAAACGTATATCCCATGTATGAGAAAAGCTAAATTATATCATGAACTCACCACAACAACAACTTTAGCTTCACCTAGAAACAGAAGTCATAATATTTTTATTCTTCACCATTTGTTGGTTCCTTTTTGGCTTACGATCATCCTGACCAACCAGACACCAAGTATCCATCTAGTAAATCCACAGGAGCTAGAAGTCTCCATTCAGCCACTCAGCCAGACTGACTCAGGTCTGATCATTTCATTTCTTAGAAGAATTCACTCTGGTTGACTTGGTCTACTTAGTTTAGGTTAAATGACAGATTTTATAAACCGGTAAGTCAACACTCTCCTAGGGGGTGTTTTTAGATTTGTCGAGTCCACTAACTGGATTGCAAAGCCAGTTCCTTGCAAAAGCTGACCAGAGGAACAAAATCCTCAAAATTCCTATGTAAGCGTATATTCTCCTTATAGATAAGACTGTGGGTATTCTTTATTCCCGGGTAATAAAACTGTATTACCTTGTTAACCTTAGAATTTGACTCCTTCTCTTGGTTTTTTGCATCTTCTTTTCGTTCCGGTTTTTGTGCTGCTGCAGGTTTCTCCTCTTCCTCTTCAGGTCGTTTTTTGTCAGGTTTCTGATCCCGAGTCTCCACAACTTTTGGAGTAGGCTTGGATATTCTTGGAGATCGCCTTAATGTGCGGCCAATGCTGACCTCTTCTGGCGGTGTTTCTGTCTTTCTCTTCCGACTGGAGATCCTGATTGTTAACTTAATTCCTTCTTTCTGTCTTTCAGAAGTTATTTCTTTATTATCTGTTGCGCAACTTTCTTCTTCAGAAACTAGCTTATATTTAAATTTGCTTTTAGGTAGTGGAGATTCCTTTTTACTCTCTGAGGAGTCCTCTAGATTAGAAGCATGGGCATCATCTGATCTATCTGGCTCTGTCTTGGCAGCTTCCAGCTCTTCCTCTTGTTTTTCAGGGCTGGATTTTTCTTCTACTTTGCTCTCCTCGGGTAGAGCCGTTTTACTGTCAGAGCCCTCCTTTTCCGAAACAGGCTTCTCTAAAGTAACGGGAGAAGTAGATGAAGGGGGTGTCTCAGCAGCTTTTGGAGAATCAGGTTTCTCCTCAGACTCACCTTTACTTTTCAAAGTCTCTTCATCAGACAGTGCAAGCTTGGGCAGTTCTGCAGGAGCAGATGCATTTGTGGACTTCTCTAGCTTCTCTAAACATTCCTTGGGTGGCGGTAGTCTGTCCTTTTTGATTTTCATGGCTAGTTTCTCTTCAGTTGTTTTGGCACAGTCTTCAGAGTTTGAAGACTCTTCCACTACCATTTCAGTAGCTGTGCTGTCAAGGGATTCTTTTTCCACAGGACTAGATTCCTCATTTAAAGGCACTTTCTGATTAGAAACCTCAGAGACCACAGCCCCTATCTCTTTCACCACAGTTACTGCATTTTTCTCAACCTCGCACGCTTTTATGATTTTACTAACAGAGTCTGATACCTTTAGGGAGTCTGATACTTTTAGGGAGTCTGACACCTTTAGGGAGTCTGATACCTTTTCCCCACTTTTTCCATTTCTCTCTTTTAATGAGCTGCTGTCTTCCTTTGTGCTAGCAGAGTGTTCCGACTTACTATTTTGTATGACACTTGGGGTTATTTTTTCACAGCTAACCTCTCCATTTACTAGCACTTTCCCATCAGGACATAAAGCAGTAATTGTAGGGACTCTCTTAAAAGCTTCTTCTTCTGGTTTCCCTTCTTCCTTCAAGACATCCTTTGTTGGAGTAACACATTTACATAGGGGCCCCTTTATCGGACTGTCATAGTCATCTGTGAGCTTGATCTCTCGCTTTTTAAGCGGTATTTTTGCTTGCTGGTCATTTTTAAGTTTCTCACTTTCTTCCATAGATTTCTCCACAATTTCTTGGGGAGTTTTGACATTAACACAAAATTCTAACCTCTCCGGCTCATGAACTGCTATTTTGTCCGTGCAACTTTTTACTTCTTTTAAGTCTTTTGGTTCTATTTTGTTTTCCTTCACCTCTACTTTAACAGGCTTGACATTTTCTTTAAAGGAGTCACTTTCTTCTTTGACAGTTTGCTTTTCTTCATTGTATTCTGAAGGTTTCTCTAATTTTACTATTACTGGCAATTTTACAATTTCTTTTTCTTCCACTTTCTCCATTTTCGGCATATTTTCGTCGTCTTTGACCACAGGAAGAGGAAGGCTTTCCAATTCCACTGACTTTTCCTCCACTTCCTCTTTTTCTTCTTTGATTTTTAATTGGTTTTCTGTTGACAGAGAAAAACAACTATGAAACAACCAGGGGACCTACAGGATTTCAAAGAGCATTCATCAAAACAAAGGCGTGTCTGAAAAACCCAACAACCCAAAGTCCCCCCCGCAAATTAATCTTCTCTCACGGAATTATTAGGAATCTGGCTTGTCTAACACTGTCATTAAACGAGTCGGTTGCCAATTTTTAGCTAAGAATCACAGTTCAGTTTAATTATATACCAAGATAAACCTAAATTTCAGAAGCTATCAGCAGAATTCTAGACTTATCCTTCTTTATACAGACATCTCAGCCCCTTCTTCAGTAGTACCACAATACTTTCAGAAGATACATAAAACCTAAGTAGTGAACACACAAAGCATCAACTGGATGTCTCACTTGAGTTTCTGAATTATTTCACAAACCAGATCATGGTGTAAGGTTCCATGATCTTCAAGTGAAATTCCACATAGAAATCAGTCCCCTGTTTGTACACGTTTTTATTTCAAGAAATACTTAACTATTGTATTTCAACAGTTCAGAGAAAAAAGAAGACGTTCAACATTATAGCTTATGGCAAAATTCACCTAGATTCTCTGGACGATGACTACATCTCCTATGTACTGTCAACACACAGGTAACAGACAATGTTCTACATTCACTTCTAAAACAAGCACAGTGAGTAGTAGCATATGCCAGAAAAACCTGCAGAGCTTAAAGAATTAGGTTATGCCTACTTTGCTAAGTCATTTTTAGATCGTTAGGGCTTAAAGTACAGTTCCAGCATTCAGAAGAAACCATCTATTTTGTTACTATGTACTTAAGCCTATTATTTATCATTACCGCAGCCTCTTAATACCTCAGGTTTTTTTATTTTACTATATTTTTGAGTCAGCTAGGGATAGAACTAGTTAGAAAAAAGCAAACATAATAGCACTACATATACCATAACAGCATCTTCTACCATCTGGAAGATGTAACTGCAAGTGTGCCCTAACTCCAAACAAAAGGATGATTTTTTTCTTCTACCTCACCTCTCTCCCTCCACACTAGTGTAATTCTTTTCCAAGATGAGAGCTTCCCAAAGTGGTTAGAAATATACAAGGAGAAAGTACATGACAGCTAACTTAGTACATTAAAGAAAATAAGCATTTTAGAAAAGAGTGGTGAGAAGGAATTCATAGGTTTTAGAATATTTTCAAATACAAAGCATGTATCCAAATAAGTATCAGCAATTAGTACAGCAGTGAGAGATGCATCTCTAAGGCACTGGCAGCGATAACATTTTGAAGGCTCAAGGCTGTTTTTTTACCCTTCATAGAAGTGGTCCCCACTCTGAGCCCTCGTAACGTAAAAGCTGCCTCTTTAAAGACATTTGTCTGTAACAGTGAGAATGAGGTATTTTTTCTGTGTCTGAATTCTTTCATCCTCCCATCACTTCTCTCTGTCTAAACATTGCTCAACCATTTCTTCCCGTCACCATATTTTTTCTGTGTTTGAATTCTTTCATCCTCCCGTCACTTCTCTCTGTCTGAACATTGCTCAACCATTTCTTCCCGTCACCTACTGCTTTCTCCCAAATTTCTAACATCAAGGATCACCAGAATCCCCAAAACTTCTCTATACTGAAAATCAACAGTTGTTTCTGTAGCTTAACTCCCTGAACTGCTTGTAAAGCATTTCATACATGCAAAATGACTCAGCTGATGCACAAGTCGTCTTAACACTATTCGAGTCAATCAATCAGGCTAGTAAAAAACATGTAAGCATTGGTTCAGTTTACCTTATTTTTGTATGAACTAATTTAACGCTGTTTGGGAAGTGGCCAAAGCAAACAGGTATCAGGTCTTCCAATATATTTTCACTGTACCTTAGAAGGGCTTTGAGTGCCGTCCTTGGACTACTAGGAAGAATTAGTAAAGCTTCTCAACTGAAAGAATACACTGACTGCACTGAAATGACTGCACACATAAGTAATGTCATTATTCATTACATAGACGGGACTAGTGCCTAGGAGTGATTTTGCATCAGTACACAGCCTAATGCAAGTACTGACCCAAGTGAGTGTGCCATAGGATTTGGGGACTTATCTACAGTGGGGACATTCATTAAAATGTTTTCAAACGGCTCCTCCTGAATTCAAGGTCAAGTAAAATTGTATCTGAAGTGGAGATCTCGATTAGATGATTTAAGCTGGCTTGATCAATTTTTAGTGAGACAAAGGCAAGATCAGTACTTGGAATTAATTCTGCAGTGTCAGTAACCACGCAGGTTATGTTGTCACTTATATGCACAGTTAGATATTGGAAGTGCCTTAGATTGAAAGGCAATTTTGCTGGTGTTCATCACAATTTACTGCAATTTGTACAGTAGTCTTCTAACGCTTCCACAACAACTCAAATTTTATCTAAATGTTTTATTTATTTCTTCTGTTCTACACTGTTTGTTGCAAAGAATGAGAATAAAATAGCAAGTCTTTCTCTTTGATACTCAGAACCAAGACAGGCCTTGGCTAATTCCATATATCAAATTAACTTAAACAGATTTGAAGAAACACATACTAACACAGTGGAATCCTTAAATCTTCGCTTCTGATTGTGAAAATCTTTTCCTGAATTTTAACAAAATGATAACACCAGGTAGTAACGGGGGTAAAATTACTTGGGATAACAAGCTTTTAGTTTTTCATAACCTAAAAGAGATCAGATTCTTATAACACAAAATACTTCAGGCTAACTGATACTGATACTTAGTAAAACCAATGCACAAACCAGGAAGTCAGGTAAGTTCTTAAATATGTGCAATGACATGATAATAGGGAAGGAAGAAAGGTTCTTTGTTAATACGAACAGTGGAGGCAGCTAAGGACCACTTCACTTCTAAAATATTTTAGTATTTTAAATTGTTTTAACTTAAGCTCATGTATTCTTGAAAAATCTTGTAGATTATGACACATTTGAGGAAGCAACCTATATTTTTTGATTCAAAGTCAAAAGCAAAAATAAACAACACACCCAATACTGTATTGATTTCAATCATGGCATTGCACAAACAGATTTTTTTTCTTTTTAAAATTTTAATGTTGCTAGAACAGGAGAAGTTTGGCAACAGCTCAATGCTCCACAAAAACATACAATGACGAGTATTTACAATATTATACAAAATGTACAGCAAAAAATAAAATTACTTAGAAAACAATTTATACACAGCTGTCTTATAAATAAACTCTTGAGCCTAAATATGCACTAAAAAAACTCCAATAATATTCATAATTTCAAAGTATTCAATATTTACTTGATTTACTTTGAACAGAAACATTTTTTGGTTGGTGTTTTTTTTTTTAAAAAAGTCCTAATCTAACACAGTAACTTTTCATGAAGTTGAAAATTCTAAAATTGCCACAGCACAACATTTAAAATTTGAGAAAAGAAGGCAGAAAACCTTGTGTAGATGCTTCTTCACCCTTTTTGGTGTCTTCATCTTCTATGCTTGGGCTTTCACGTGATGAGTTCTCCTGCTGAGAACTGTTGTTTTTCAACAGGGCAGGATCAATTTGTGCTTTCAAGAGCTCCAGGGTCTCGGCAAGCTCATTGCGGTTTCTAGATGACAGAAGAAAAAACATAGTGTCTGATAAGCCACTTACTCACCCCAAAGGGATTCATAAAAAATAAACAAACTCCATCTGCTTAAATGAATGCTGCCCTGAAAACCTTATATACAAGCACAGAACCTGTCCCACCAGAGTGGCTGCAACTTCGCAGTCAGAAACTTTCCAATTTATCCATACCAAAATAAAATCACTTTTTTGGAAGGGCCTTATCTATCTCGACTCAAGTCCTGTTGGGTTTGGATCCAAGCTGCTACTATTATTCTTTTATTATCCTCTTACCAATCCTCACTGATTTTTCTTTGCGGTTTCTTTTTTCTCTCAGGAGAAAGGAAGTTGTAATTTTCTGCTCATGCACCAAAGGAGCAACCACATCATTCAAATGAAATTTTCAAAAGCAATTAAGTAATTTAGATACTTTTTGCAAGTACCCATCCTAAGCACTTGTAGCGAACAATACAAAGTTGTCTAGAAAATTCCAGCTACTCGAGTTATGATAGCGAGAAAATTTGTTCGTGCATCTCTATGCATGCAAATCTCAGTGCACTGTAACTCCTTATTTAAACTGGACATCTAGCTATAAAAATCAACACCTTAATGTATAATGAATTTGAGTGATAATTAAAAAGAGTCATTGTTTTCATAATAGACTAGAATAAGAAGGCAGCTCTCACATTTCTTTTTTCGAAGTGAATGTTCAGCAATTTGTTTTGCCCAGGTTTACAGAAAAAAAGGAAGCCTGGAAGTGCAACAACCCTGAGATGTGGAATCTCAAGGGTTTAAAACCATTTCAGATTTTACAATGCATTACTGTGTTTTTCTGCTGTGAGTGTGGAGTGTCAGAACTTCCCTAGCAGAACCCTGATTTCTTCCGCTTTTGGCATTGATCTCTGGAGTCTATAACGCATGAGGGGAGAGAAACACCGCTCAGCTCTTAATTGGTTTCTTTAGACACATTTACTTTATTCACCCACAACAGCTGTCTAAATTTCACTGGTAGTAATGCTTATCATTTTATGGCCCGTTGATAGTGGTTTACACCGTTTTGTCTGACTTCCTTGGTTACTAAAGTTATGGATATGTAAATAAGCTGCAGATACAAAAATTAATATTTACAAACAGAAAAAAAACTATCCTTTGACTTTTTTTAGACTATTTTTACATCTCTATGTACTTTTTAAGTCCGAGTTGATTCTGCTGAGTCCAGTTTAAAATCCACTCGGAACTAATCAAATTAAAAAAAGAAGTTTACATGGAGATAAACTAAAAATGCACAACTGATAGATATGAAACAAATTTCAAGCTAATTCTTTTTCCAGTAAGAAAGATCCCGTATACTTTGCATAGAGGAGGAAAGTGAAAAACAAAATATGTAACAAGAATTACAAAAAACCATAAATCTGAAGCTAAAATATCATTAAAATATTAACAGATCCATCTGCAGCAACTGAGACCCAGAGGCACTGAGTCATGTTCACGTCAGTCTGCATCAATGTCATGCGCCTCTTCTTTAGTGATCTATGAGCTGAATTCTACTCTAGATTTTTCGTGCCTATTTGTATTGTCAACAGTTTTGTAGTTCCATGAAGTTAAAATTGCAATGTAATTCCCCCAAGAACAAAACTGTCCACTTATAATTGTCGTAATAGGGCAGAAGTTAAAGAAGCAAGAGTCCTCCTCCATTTCCTAAAGCATTTAGCTGGCCAGTGAGCAATATGGAGCCCTCGTCCTCAGGAGTGTCTTCTCTTCATACCCTTTCCATATATCCGTTGGAGATTGATTAACCAGAAAACAAATAACACATTGGCTATTACCAACAAATCAGTGAATTATTCCTGTATGTGGTTTTTCACTAGAACATCGATGCGAAGGCAGAAAATCCCACTGTCATCAATCCTACTCTGTGAGAAATGGAGATTTATTGGAATAAACTTCTGAACCCCAGTCACAAATAGCTAAAACCCCCTACAAAGTAAGACAAAAGAAGAAAAAAGGAATACCTAACAATGCACTTCCACGTGGATCCATCCTGGTCATCCTGTTCTTCTATGTACATCCTGACATTATGCTCTTGATCCAGCTGATACCAGTACATCAGGCCATCCTTGTCTCGACCAATGGGCTGAAGACGCATGGCATCGGCATCCTCCTCGTTAATTATATTCTTAAACTTTAGATTGTCATCAAACTGACATTCACAGAGATACTGAAAAAGTGAGAAAGTAGAAAGACTGTTAAAATATCAAAATATAAACAGAAATAAGGAAATCAGCTCATTTCCTTTTAATGTAATTTGGAACTTCTTTTTAGGTGTCCCTCTGTTGGATCTGTGATAGCTACCATTTTTTTTTTCCAAACCTTGTTGTTTTTAAATGAGAGACAATTTTTATTTGTTTTGTGGTTTGTTTTTTTTTTCCTGGCCAGCTTAGAAAGTTTATTTTTAATTTCTTTTTTACATAGTACAAATGATCTCATTCTACAACAAAACACATACGTAACTTGGAACCAACCCTGACAGTTTTCTCAAGACTTGAAAAGATGAAGTCCCATCTTTGCCTTTGGAATTCAGATAAGCTTATCTAATTGCAAGCTAATAAACATTTTAGAAAGTGTATTGCACAGGCAAAGAGCTCCTGACAAAACAGTAAGTACAAAACAATTTTCATACAAAGTTTCATACAAAGTGTGAAAAATATGCAAAGTGTTACATTCAGTTTGGGCCCAACCGACGGCCCTGAGTATCGTGCCTGTTACAAGATCAGCTCCACAGGTAATACATCTACTTATGGTTCAGTCAAGCTAAATTTGTAAGATGTTTAAGTGAGTGAGAAAGCAAAATCTCCAAGATATTTAAGCAAAGATGGAAAAAGTCATTTAGAAACTTAGTTGATGAATGTGTACCTTTAGAATCCCCAGTTTGCATTCAACACTCATTTCTAGGTATCCTTTTTTTTCCATCTCCCAAGCCCAAGTGCTGTTGAATTCTTGGCATATCTGTCACAAACAAAATAAAAAGATTGCTAGGGTTAGTGGATAAAAGCAACTTTAAACTTCTATATTAATAGTACCTTACTGCAGTAACAATTATACATGATCTCTTCAGGACTGCAAGTCAGAAAGCCTCACATAAAAATAAAAAATAAAACTGGAGTAGGTTGGGAAGCACTGGTAAATCTCCATGGAAGAGTGTATCATCGAGGTCCTGATCACCACCAACTCCTCTAAACCTCTTAAATTAGGCAGCACAACTCTGAACTGGGAAGGTACCCTCGTCTTTGCTGTGCAAAATCTCTCATTTTTCTATTTCTGACTTGTCTATTTAGAATATAAGTTCTCTTGTGTAGACGTGATTTCTTATTACATGTCTTTACAGCACTTAGCACGTAAGCTGCCAAGCTCTCTTGGGACCCCTAAGTCCTACAACTGTACTGCAGATAACAAATGCAACTGATATTCCCTCCACGCTGTGGAATTACTGTTTTTTAGAAAATGCTAAGTATCTTGGGCCTTAAGCCATTTGATAAATATTTTAAAATATTGTAAGTATAGCCAATTTCAAGTTACTTAAAGCAAATAAATTCAATGACACCAAAATGGGGAAAAAACCAGGACACAAAAAAAATAGCAATAGAGGATAAATAGATTGAATCAGCAGGAGCTCCAATAATAATGGTGGAGAAGGAATTCCCTCTCCTCCTAAACAACTCAGACATGCTTAAGACAACTCTCATGAACAGAGAAGAGCTGCTTATCAATTGAGGACACATAGCGGGATCTCCAATCAGTGAGGCTATTCTAGTGGAAATACCCGTTAGGAGGGGGTGAAAGCTAATCACAGCTACATCTCCAGTCGAGGTTATTTTGAAATGCCACTGTTGAATCACGACTCTCCAAATTAGCACACGAGGTACTGCTGCCCTTCAATCTGCAAGGAAGCAAAGCCTGCTGAATGGACTCAATCGAAACAGTGTAGTCTCCCAATCACCAAATTATTATTAAACACAAGATACAGTCACTAAGCTACTTAAAAACTTGTAAATCACATCTGAAAGCAGCTTTCTCTGGAAACAGCAGCAAAAATAACCCTAAATTTCACCCACCAGCAGTACAGACCAGTTGATTTGTGTTGTAAAACTCCACGTGAGCTACAACCAAGAAAGATGCCGCTACCCCTCCTCTGTACCCACAACCGTGCTACCTACCCTCCGCTACCCCTGGTACTGACACCGATTCTTAAGTGACCCAAGGGTGAGCCTGCAATTAGATCGGCTCAGCCACACCATAAATCATACTCTGACTTTAAACTACAGCCTACAGAGAACGGTGAAGAGAGTGCTCTCTGGTCACAATGAATCCTGCTGGAGAGCACTTTTTCCTGCTCCGAGGTTAAGGAGTGTTACACACGCACTTCTCTGAGGCAAAGCCAAAGCTCACAGCGAGAGACAATCGCTGCTCGCTCACAAAACAAGGTTACTCTGCTTTCTCTCTCATTTTCAACGATATAGTGTGAAAAACGCTGGGAAACTGTATATCAAAACCCTTGCTAAGGGCATGTGCTGTTCATTACTTACTCATTAAGTATGAAAGCAATAATGAGAAGTTTCATGTGCTACAGAAATGTATGGTTGTCAAAGCAAAAGCTCAGAGACATCAGAGCTGATGAAGCATCTGTTCAAACTGAAATGACTACATTTTGACAATTAAAAACCAGATGATCATGCCTTCTCCTGACAAGTACTGTCACAACCCTGAACTACAGATCTCATTGATTCAGGCTCCGCTGAAATGTTAGTCTCTGCCTTCACAGAGGGGACGTTTCACACCGATCAAAAACCTGCAGCTTGCAGGAGGAGCTGGCTTCTGCATGCTAAAGAGTGGTCAGCAGCTTTCCACCCTGCAAAAGAGACGCTGAAACATCTCTCGCACAAATATTTCCAAAGCAGCTACGATGGCATCCGACACTTATTATTACCACGCTCCAAATGTTCACTTTAAACAATGAAAGAGGAAGGTGAAAGACACAGCGGAGGAGTCTGCTCAGGTGAGACTACAGACACCTGAATTCTAATAATCAGGGCAGAAAAGACAGTGTGTAAAGAACGTGCCAATTTCGGGACTAAAGGTTCCAGACAGACCAGTCCAGAGAAATCTTATCTGTATAAAAATGCAAAATATGTTTGACAATAGCCAAGTAAAGCATTTTGCACAGTCTGAATTAACTCAACTACGCGTTCCTCAAAAAACAGCTAAGCTGGATAGTTCCTCTTAGTTGTTAAAATGTTTAGGACAAGCCAGTTCTTTACGCCAGTCACACATACATTCCTTGTGCAGAGGAGAAAAGTCAGATTCCTAGAGCCCTATAGCCATTTTCTTCCAAAAAAGACTAGTGTGTATGTTGGTGAGCCAACTTGGGTGGTTCACCATCACAAGAGGGAAGGGAAAAAACTCTCAACTGCCCAAAATATATTCATCTGTCAAAATACCAGCTGCAGCTTAGAGACAATTTTTTATGATGCTTTTTGCAAGCATGACAGTCAAATAAAGCATATCTTATAAACAGTTGGTATATAAACAAAACATATTAATAATATAGACATGCATAAATATTAAGAGCATGTAAGTTTGAATGTCCTCCACTTAAAGTTTCCTCCTAAATAAGAATGTATCAAATCCTGTTTTATCAAAGCAACACATCAGTAGCTTCTAATGAAGGAGAAACAGGTCAACATTGCCTCTTAGAGTATGTCAATAATATGTCAAACAATACTGCAGGCACCTAGAATGCTCTCAATGGTTCTACACCTCTTCAGTTTTTCCTGGCTTTTGTGGCATTTCCCAATACTCTTCGTTGGTTTTCTAAATTAATTATACCCCTTTGAAATGGGGACAATATTAGCATACCTCTCTAATTAGTTATATTCAAATTCCTTTGTTCCTCAAGGTTCCTTTGAACCACTGGCTAGAATAAGCTTCAAGTTAGCTCTGGAGACTGTCAAATGAAGTACAATTTATTACTGCTTACCTGGTCTTAACAGGGGTATGTGGGAGGGTTTCCTTACCACCTTCCCATCCTTGCAATGCCTGCTGAAGGAAGATTTTCCAAACTACGCCTTCATAAACTTGTTTTCCCCCCTCTGCTTTCTGCTTACCACACAAGTGGTAAGTGGCTTCAGGGGGGTACGTAAGTTCACTAGTCTGAGTTGGGTTTTCTCAGCTTGCTGCAATGGCTTTGCAGTATATTAAGGAATTTAAGACAAATCAGTAATGACAGTACTTGGTAATATATGAAGTACACAAAAGTTACATAAATTATTACATTATTATTTTAAAACATCATCATAAATACTTGACAACTGGTTAAGAGGTTAGATTTAACCTAAGGCCCTTCAGCAGGTTATTTCCTGACATACTCCCAGTCCTAAAAACATCATCATCTTAAGACTACACAAACCTCAAGACAAATCCCTGTCTCTGTAAAGTTTATAGACGGCACTTAGGGGGGCAAACTGCAACTGGATTTGCCAAGTGCCATGATTTGTATCATTGCTATTACCATAATGCTGTATTTCTAAGCAAGATGTGATCATGGCTGTACAGACAATACCAAGACTATACTTTTGTGGATTAAAGGGCACATGGAACATAGCCAGAGGGGAAATGGTTCATCTTGAAAATGAAAACATTCCTTTTGAATATCTGTATATTTTTATTTTCTGAAGCAGGGTAAATTCTTTAAACTGAAAACTATTTGCATGTAAGGTGCCAGCGATGGCATAGCCACAATTAAAATACCAATACAGAATTATGTAAAACAATGGGATACTATATTTTTACTGATGCATAACTACGTTTTCATCTTAGCTGTGCCATTCTGAGCATGCAGATATAAATCACTGCAATACTTTCATTTATTATTAAGACATGCTACAAGAACTCCGTATTGGTTAGTCCCTGTATGAATACCAACCAAATCACAATAATTAAATCATATCCAGACAACTGATATACAAATGAATTGTTACTGTGTAAATCTCTCTGCTCAATGTAGCCCATTTGCAGGCTACTAAACCTCCTTCTTTATTAACTGTCTTAATGCTCAAAAAAGTATTTTACTACCAAGTATGAAGGTGTACACTCTTTTACATGCAGAAGATATTGTCTGTTTTCAGATTTTTTTTTTACACAAGCCTAAGCTGACTGAAAGCTACGCTGGGATCTTACGCAACTGAAGTCTGGGCACGCACATTGATGTTGGCCACAACACAGCCCAAGGCTCACTATAATTCATACCAGGGATTGCTGACACAACAGCTCATCATAACCATATTCTAGCATTGCAGGATAATACAACGCACATATTGTACCTTGATCAAATATTTTTCCCATCTGTCTGCTGTGACAGACTTCCCAATCTTTCTCATCAGTTTCAAGTGAAGCTCCACCAACTCTTTTGGAACTGCAGTATTGAGAGAGAGAAAAAAAAAAAAGAAGTTATGAAGTCTGGTGCAAATATACTTCCATGCTGAACACTGATAACACTGAAACACTGTGACAAATTGGGAAATTTTAACAAATCATAATAACTTAAAGTCTGCTGAAGAGCAGCCCCACAACTGAGAGATGGGGACTAGTGTGTAAGTAGGATTAAGGTTAATTTAATCGCATGGGTCTTTTTGTTTAGATTTACATTTACGATGATCTGTGCCCTTCCTTAAACTCAAGGAAACAGACCTCTGTGATAAATACGTAAGAATTTTGGCAGCATTAAAATAACAACTGGACAGGAACTATGCCAGTCAAATACCTACAAAAATACACACCTGCAGCTGCCTCCAGAAACCCCAAAGCCATGTTCTGCACCACGCCTGGAATATCACTGAATCCAAACTATTTTTGGCTGGGTGCGTGGTATGGGAGATATGTTCCAGAAACTTTGTCCTCACAGATGTAGCTTTGCTATATACTTACCCTCTTTTGTACTGGAGGGACAGAGAGGGACTTGAGATCTGGGGACTGAGGGATGGAGGCCAGAACTGCTGCTGAGTACAGCTGCACCAGTGCGATCATAGAATCAAAGTTTTCCAACGAAATTTTACTTATCTCTTAGCGTACGCTCCTCAGATACAACGTCAACATCTCGTCTTAGCTCACATCTGTGATTTATAAATCAGTCTGGCACCACCAAGTGGCAAATTTGCAGAACGTCAATCTTATAAGCTAGAGAGTAGTACAACTTTTTAAAAATATGTAACTGATAATTATTAATGCAACTATACAGGCCCAGTGATGTGAGCTTTCTTATTTGTAATTTGTTGAAAAAAACTTAAAGAAATGGCACTTCTAAAGTATTTTTATTTCTATACTCTTTGCATACAATTTTATTTTCTGAAAGCATTTTCATTACTCTATGCACACACGCTTTAAAAATTTAAAACCCAAGAACGTTTATGATCATAATTTATGATTACGGTTTTTCTGCTGGTCCCGTAGCACTACTTGACACAGGATAAGCAGCTGGGACACCAAAGGTGTTTGTTCTAAACTAGACATTACTGAGATGTTATTTCTTTATAAAACATTTTAGTATCTGTGTGAATCTTTTCAATATTTACCTGGATTTCACCTAACTGATATTTGTCTTTCAATCAAATGCTTCTATTTTCAGGTGAACATAGCGAGTTGGTAAAATATCAGTTTGATGAAAATGCTTGTGTTATTTCAGAAGTAGGTCACCTTTGCTGGTTCGCAACCAGAAATTTAATACACAAACTCACTTCTTCGATAAATACATAAAGTAGCAGCCTGGTACCCAAAAAGAGACCTCCTTTAAATGTAAATAATTTGTGAGCAACTGTAAACTAGCCGTGACTTTTTCTCTTTTATTCCATTCATCGTTTCCGTTACCATTGCGTATTGAAAAAAACCTAACGCATCTCCTCCTTGGTTTTCCTGAAAATTGATGCACTTCAAAATTTTAAACTACCACATATTTTAAAAGGAACAAGATCAAAGGTCTTAACCCTGATAGGTGCCGAGCACTTGGCACTAACAAAATCAAGCACAAAGCACTTTATACACATGAGCAATTCTATCAAAGTCAGCTCATACAATTAAACCGCAGCTTGTGTTTGTGTGACACGAAACTGAGCCGGAGTATTCAAAATCTTGCTGGATCAAAGCTTTGTTCTGCATCTTTTTTTGTTTGTTTGTTTTTAATCAGATCTCTCTTCAATGGGTACATTCTGATTGGAATCCTAGTTTAAAGAAGCACGGGTGATTTGTTTCGAATAATCAAATCCCCAGTCACCACAAAAATCTTTGCGAGAGTGTTAAGTCTTAGAAGAAATGGAGAACGTTAAAAATTCAAAAATTGGAAAGTAATTTTGCACACCCTTGGTCAGCACTTACTGTGATCTGTGTTACTACCTATAGAAACCTCACTTCTTTTTTGAGATTCCAGCATTTCAGCTCTTGCATTTCTAGGATCTTGATGATGTACCGATGTGATTATTTTCACAAATAAACTTCACAAAACGTTTCAAATTAATTCTCTATTTATTATCCTTTCAAGATGTTTTGCACATATCATAACAATATTAATGACCGGTTCTCTAGGCTGGCTTTTCTCCAGTTCCCTAGTAAGCGCTTAGAGGAATCGCACACTATCCTCCTTGTCCTAAGGAACGAGGTGGGAGTTTTGGAGAAGAAAACCGATGTCCAGTTTGCAGGCAGAAACTAGGGAGTGTGTGAAGCGCAGCCTGACCAGCCAGGGTGCCTGAAGTACAGCAGGAGCAGAAGCCTGTGGGACTGAGAAACAAACTCTGTATTGAAACCAAAGTAACTGTAAACAGTATATGGATCACATGCAGCAGCATACACCTGACTTGCCCAGAAGTACCAGCTCAGGGAGGGGTGGTAGGAAGGCTAAAGAGTGGTAGAAAATCCATCCTTTCCCAGAACACTTATTTGGCAAGGAGAAGAAGTGCACTAATAAACGACACTAACGTTTCAGTTGTCTCAGAAATGCGTTGACCATCCATAACTTTAAATGAACTCACTTTTGTTCAGAATAGAAAGAAAATTCTTGACAAGAGTTCATTGAAGTGGGACATCAGTAAGGATCATTTTTACAATACTCTTCTAATCCTACTTGTAACATACCAAAGATGATGAACATGAGATGTCATTACTTTTGGGTTGTGGTGTTGTTTGTTTTTTTTTAAAAAACCACAGTAGACTGTCATCTCCTTTGTAAAATCATCTCCATTCAAGTGGGACCGGCATCACTCATTTCAGGAACTCATATGATAACCTAATAAAGTTTTGCGTTTTTTAAAGTTTCACATAAGGGAAGGAACAATACATACCATCTTTCTTGCATAATAGCCATTCTGCGTAAAGTTCTGGCCAAAAAAGTGTGATGGAACGTACACAAAAAAACCTAAATCTGAATGGTATTCTCAAACTTTTATGAAACTTTGATCTCTCTGGAAAGTAATATAGTAGCTCTCTAAAACCTTCATAGAACACACTTAAGTGGTGGAGGAAACGCCAGGACTCTGCGCACAATAAAAATCGTACAGCACTATTTTAAAGGAAAAACTGTTTCAAAGAATCAAGTATAATTAAACCATGGTGCCATCTGCTAGATATTCAAAAATACAGACTTTTCATAGGAAGAAGCCATGAGTCAGAAAGAATGAATCACGGTATATACAATTATAGGGCTTCTGGTGGAGTTTAGCCAATTTGTTAAGTCCTGCACTTTCCTGGAGGGCAGGCTCTTGTCTGGGCCTCATACAATATCCTTTGAACGCTGTTCTATCTACTCCGGCATTTCAGGGAACATCAGTCTCACATTTCTAGTAAGTTTGGGAAAGACAGAAAACTGAAACGGAGGAGAAAAAGTACGAACACATGGAAACCCCATCATCTGGTTAGAAAAGCTGTAACTTTCAAACACCTGCACAACCGCAGATTAAAGACCTGGTTGTGGGTACCCATTAACACCTTCCCATATAACCATAACCCCATTTCACCTCTACTTCATTTCCCTGCCAAAATTAATACACTCACAGCTGAACACTCACTTAAACAAAACTGAAATAAAGGAGGAAGACAGAAAATGTAGTTGACAGACAAAGCCCTGGGTCTGGAGAGAGGATAGGGGGAATTGTTATTCGGAAAATGATTACAAATAAAAAAGCTTTGTATCAGATCTGGAGTGCTGGACACAGGGGGGAAGATCAGAACCCCAGTGTACTCAGAGTCCCTGATACTGAAGTGGATTGCAAAGCCTATGACTCCCCTCTTCCTCCAGAGATAAGGGAAAAGCACACTGAACCCCTCACGCTGCGGGGACGTAGGGAGAAGGGAACAAGAAGTAACTTTTTGGGATGCAAAGACTGCTGGCAGTTTTCATGCTTCATGAACACAAACAGGTCTTCCCAGTTATACTAGTAAAACTTTTTTCCATGCTAACTTGTTTTGGCAAGTGGAAGAAAAAAAAGAGTGACTCATAAGAAATACAGGGCAAATATTTCAGTTACCAGTTTGCTCTTTTTCATCTTTCTGCCGTGACCAACATTACCTCTGCGCGCTGTGACTTCACCGTCAAATAAAACCGTGCTAAGCAAGTGGACAGCTGAGATCGACAGGATCATTAATAATCTCCCACCTCCCGTTCTTTTCTACGAAGGGAAGCTAGCTCACAGTAACCTGTACAAAATCGATGCATGTTAGTTACTGGCACCCTCCGCAAAGAGTTTAATGGCAAGCAAACACCAGATAGCTTCCACCATGTTCAACTCCCTCCATGGGCAGTGCTGGAGGGAGCCGTACTAGCAGCATGTGCAAAGGCAAGAGCATCCCCTCAGATATCGGTGAAGAGTTATTATGTGGTCAGTTTACCACTTAGCCCACCACACACTAACCACACACTTAATTCCCTTTACAGACAAGCCCTTACGCATAAATTTGTTTAAAACCAGTCGGCTGCATCCCTTAAAAGGCACAGTGATCACATTTCTAACATCTTTAATGTTCTCCTCCATTTTTGTGTGCAAGTCTGAAGTCCCATGAGCAGTCAGAGGCACAAACACCTTCTCCTCTAGATAAGTTTCAACCAAAGGTAAGTTCCTCATCTGGTTCATTAAATAGCTAGCAAAACACTTAGGAAAAGAAAGCGGAGAGGACCTCTTTCAGCAGCAGCGCAGGTTTATGCCAACGTAAATCGTAAATATTCTTCTCTAGGAACTTTGAGGCTTGTTTCTTATCTCAACTCTTAGTATAAGGAAAATGAGAGATCCCTACGGTTGGGATGTATTATTAAGAAGTTTATAGACCATAGAGAAAAATGATGGCCTTGGTATGAACTTGGCATGATAAAGAAAGGGAAGGACGAAACCTCTAGTATGAACCAGGCAAGAAGTTACAGCGAACCTCTGAC